ACCAGTCCATGAGCTCTGACCAAGAAACCAGCTAATGAGCTGTGACAAAGAAGCTAGTCCATGAGTACTGACCAGGACACCAGTCCACGAGCTCTCACCAAGAAACCAGTCCAGTAGTGCTGACCAAGACACCAGTCCATGAGCTCTGACCAAGAAACCAGTTCATGAGTACTGACCAAGAAACCAGCCCATGGGCTGTGACCAAGAAACCAGTCTATGAGCTCTGGCCAAGACACCAGTCCATGAGCTCTGGCCAAGAAACCAGTTAATGAGCTGTGACCAGGAAACCAGTCCAGTAGTGCTGACCAAGACACCAGTCCATGAGCTCTGACCAAGAAACCAGTCCATGAGTTCTGGCCAAGAAACCAGTCCATGAGCTGTGACAAAGAAACCAGTCCGTGAGTTCTGGCCAGGACACCAGTCCAGTAGCACTGAACAAGAAACCAGTCCATGAGCTGACCAAGAAACCAGTCCAGTAGCACTGATCAAGAAACCAGTTCATGAGCTCTGGCCAAGAAACCAGTCCATGAGTTTTGGCCAGGACACCAGTTCAGTAGCACTGAACAAGAAACCAGTCCATGGGCTGTGACCAGGAAACCAGTCCAGTAGTGCTGACCAAGAAACCAGTCCATGAGCTCTGACCAAGAAACCAGTCCATGAGCTCTGGCCAGGACTCCAGTCCAGTAGTGCTGACCAAGACACAGTCCACGAGCACTTTCTGGCAGGAGCGGTGGAGGAAGCTACCATTCGGATTCGCTCTTCCTCCGCAGCGCCCTGAGCAAAGCCTCGCGGATGTGGCTGGATTTGATGCTGTAGATAACTGGGTTGAGAGCGGGAGGAATTATGAGGTAGGTGTAGGCCACCAAGGTGTTAACCAGAGGAGGGACGTTCTTCGCGAAGCGATGGGTCATGGACAGTCCGATCATTGGGATGAAGAACACGAGAACGGCGCAGATGTGGGAGACGCAGGTGTTGAGAGCCTTGAGGCACTCCTCCTTGGTTGCGAGGCCGATAACGGTTTTAATGATCAGGACGTAGGACAGCACAATGAAGATGAAGTCCATCCCCACCGTCGATAAGAGAACAATCATACCGTAGAAGACGTTGACTTTTATGTCTGCACACGCCAGGTTCATGATGTCGGGGTGGAAGCAGAAAGAGTGAGACAGCTCAGTCTTGCTGCAATAGGTCAGCCTCTTGAGCAAGAAGGGTATGGGGAGGAGGGACACCATACCCCTCAGTATAATTGCCAGACCTATTTTTACGACAGTAGTCTTGGTCAGTATGGATGAGTGTCTCAGAGGATGGGAGATGGCAATGAAGCGGTCAAATGCCATCGCCAGGAGCACAGAGGACTCGATGAAGGACAGTATGTGGATGAAGTACATCTGAGTGAGGCAAGCATCGAACCCGATCCTTCGCATATCGAACCAGAAAACGCCCAGAGTAGTCGGCAGAGTGCACAGAACCAAGCCCAGGTCGGTGACCGCCAGCATGGAGAGGAAGTAGTACATTGGTTCGTGAAGACTTTGGGTCTTCTTTATGATGAAAAGGATGACGCAGTTTCCCAAGAGAGCAGTGAGGTAGAGCGCACAGAAAGGGATGGAGATCCAGGGGTGAAGGGCTTCCAGGCCTGGGATGCCCATCATGAGGAAAGCTGAAGGCTGATAGAAGGAGCCATTGAGGTCCCCCGTGGAACGCGAGTCCTGCTCCATCCCAGCTCAGCTCTCACATAACCTAGACCTAAAACAAACCAACAACAGAAACCCCACGTAGTCGGACTCTCCACTGAATACAGAACTGGGTAACGACAACCGCCGCATCCCGCCACCGCCCCACCAACCTGCGCAGATGTGCCCATGCTCTTTAGGACACTGATAATAACCACGGTGTCACATGTAGCTACAAGTCACTAATGTTTATCCATTAAAATGTAAAATGAAGGAAAAGGACGGAGTCTTTAAAAAGAAAAAGAAAAGAAAAGCGTTTTTTTCTTCAAATGAAAGTTAAAATCTTCCTGGTGAGTGCTGCTGTTTTGCAGTTGTCCCCAAATTCCACGGGTTGAGATGCTCTGTGCAGTGACCAAGTGTCTTTTCCACCATCACCCCAACCAGGCCTAAGCTGCTAAGCTGCTTTTTGATGCTAAGTGGAGGCAGAAGGATGTGAAAATGGTAAAAGCTTAACCCTGGCTTCTCAGTTAAGAAGTCAGCATTGGAAACAAGTGGCAAAATGTAAGAGAATCGGGCACTGAGACGCTGCTGCTCTCAGCACAGATGATGGCCACCAGCGTAAGGGTTTTCGGCGGCTTTCACATCCCAGTTGTTGCTCATTTCAACCAATGAAATAAATGAGCGAAGCCCCACTTGTGTGGTGCCCGTGACTTTGATTAATAAGGGGCAAAGGCAAGGAAAATCACAAGAAGTTGCAGGTTCAGAAGCACTGAAGCATCCACGGAAAGTGTCTGGGTCCAAACCAGAGGGGAGGAACAGCAGGAATGTGGTGGGGTTTCAGCATGAGGTGAGTGAGGCCCTCACAGAAGCCTGGCTGTGTCTGCTCTGGTGAGTTCAGCAGAAGGCCTCTGAGATGGATGGGTTAGGAGCAATGCCGCAGGATACGAGACCAAGGAAAGAGGCTTATTTAGCCTGGAGAAGAGGTTTTTAGGGACCCAACAGAGGCCTTCCCCTGCCTACAGGGAGGCTGCCAAGAAGGCCGAGCCAGGCTCCTCACCGCCATGTGTGGTGAGAGGACGAGAGACAACAGGTACAGGCTGAAACAAGGGACGTTTAGACCGAATATAACAGGAAGTGTTTCCCCACGAGGGCTGTCAAGCATCGGAGCAGGTCGACCAGAGATGCTGGGCAACCTCCATCCTCAGAAGTTTTCAAGATCCAATGGGATAAAGTCACAGGCGGCCTTGTCCGACCTCACAGATGGCCCTGCCCTGAGCAGGCCGTTGGAGCGAGATCTTCTGAAGTTTTTCAACCTTAATTACCCAACCAACCTAACTGAGATCTTCTGAAGTCTTTCAGCCTTATTATCAACCAACCTATGAGGCTGTGGTAGCACCGCAGCTCTGGGTCCTCTTGGGGGATTCAGCCGTCTCAGCACTATCCATGTTCCTACACCGCCCATGCCAATGCGTCCTAGCAGAGACGCTGGAGAGGCCGACGCGTTCCCTGCGCCCTCCCTGTGCCTCCTGTGGCTGAGTGATGGGAAAGCAGCGAACGTGCAAAACAAGAGCTAATTAAAGGGAAAAAAACAAGTATTTACGGCTTCGGGCCTAATGTGCCTTCTGTGGGACACAAAGCAGGCAGGTCAAAGAGCGCCTGGATTTTGAGCACGAGGGTTTGCTACAGCGCAGTTCGTTTCTGAATAAACACACGTATCTTCCGCGATGTATTTATTATGTCCCTAATATGATTTTGCTCTCCGCCTGCTTGAAAGCCTGATGTGGCAATAAATCCCAGAGCTCAGCAAGGATAAACATCTTCCCGCTGCAGGGCAAAAGCAGCACCAAACTGATGGGAACTGGGGAGGACCAAAAATAATTCAATTTCCTCCAGACAGGGTCACTCATCTGGGGGCTGGGTTAAAAAACACCAAAAAGAAAACAACCGGAAAACACGATTTCTTGCACAAGTGTCTGTCCCCCTTACAGCAGCATCTGGCCGATACCCAGAACTCTCACAGACTTCGAGATTCAAGGGGTTTCCAGGAATATGGAGGTGAATGAAGGCTACAAAGGTGAATTTAGGGCTACAAAGATGATCAAGGGAATGGAGCATCTCCCTTCTGAGGAGCGGCTGAGGGAGCTGGGGCTCTTCAGTTTGCAGAAGAGGAGACTGAGGGGAGACCTCATTCATGTTTATAAATATTTAAAGGGTGAGTGTCACGAGGATGGAGCCAGGCTCTTCTCGGTGACAAACAATGATAGGACAAGGGGTAACGGACACAAGCTGGAACACAGGAGGTTCCACTTCAATTGGAGAAGAAACTTCTTCTCAGTGAGGGTGACAGAGCCCTGGCCCAGGCTGCCCAGAGAGGTTGTGGAGTCTCCTTCTCTGCAGACATTCAAAACCCGCCTGGACGCCTTCCTGTGCAACCTCATCTGGGTGTTCCTGCTCCGGCAGGGGGATTGGACTGGGTGAGCTTTGGAGGTCCCTTCCAATCCCTGACGGTCTGGGATTCTGTGATTCTGTGAAGAGGAGAGACCGACAGAGCACGCTGGGAAAGAGAGGGCAGGCGGGAACGCACTGGGGTCTGCACGAGATTTGTAATTTGGGGTCTGTAATTGTTCGTCCTGTGAGAAAATCTGCATGCAAACTTGACCTTGCGAGACACCGGCAACTCCTACCACGCTGTGCGAAGTTATTTAGAAGCTGTCCCTGTTCATATATAAACAAATGTGCATTCTTGTTTACGTTTATGTATATTCATATATCATGTAGCACACTTGTATATGTTACACCTCACAGTTGACTCTTGTGGGACAGCAATTACACCTTTCACACTGCAGCCAAGCCCTGATGAGGAAACAAACCTCTCGTTAGTGGAGAATCCCAATTTAAAGATTAATGGCAGCGCCGAATGGCAGCGTTTGCTGCTAGAAAGGCATCCTACCACAGAGAGAAAACTGCTCCTGGGTGTTTCTGCTCCCCAGGAGCCACTCCAGACTGCCCAGGGCACGAATGCAGACGTCTCATGGAGCACACGGTGCCCGCTCTCCTTCCCCAGCCCTCAACAGGCACCTCCTTGCCTGTCCCCGACTTTGGTTTTCACTCCTAACTTGAGCAAAGCACTGGAGCTTTAAGGGTTTCTTCTCAGCGTGGGCAAGGGCTGGGGCTTGGGAAGGACGAGAACAAGAAATCGGCTTTTTTCCCAAGAGGAGACTTCGTTATTTTCACAACCGCGTCGCTGCCAACTCAAGCATCCAAGGGCTCAGCCGCTGAGTGAAGGGGGGAGGATTCGCGAAGGGACTCTGAGAGCCGAATTTCGGTTGATTTCACAGGCAAGGACGGGTTCAGTTCCCACCAGCTGAACCGGGCCACCAGACGACGGGACATCGAGCTGACTCTTACACAGCGGCAAGCGGCACCACGATGGCCAGACCTTCCCCATCAGTACCATGGGAAATTACTAAAATTACAGCCGCCCGCGTCCTCCAGCACCTCCAACCCAGCACGGCCCATGGAAGGGCACGGACTTCCCGAGCAGCGCTTCGGAGACGCACCTCTTCACCCATCAACCACAGCCACCGAGCGAGTAAATGAGGAGTGCGATGACGGAGAGGCTGTTAATTACCCAAGGTACTTACCGGGCACGACGGCGGGGGCCCAGGGGCTTTGCGGGCAGCACGACCCCGTTGCGATGCAGAGGAAGAACTCGCTTCCGCGTCCCGGTGCAGGGCGGGCAGTGCTTATAAGGCGCCCCAAGGACTGACCCCGTCCAATCACCCAGCGCGGCCCCAGCTCCCCGTGCGCAAACAGCGTGAGGCCAACCGGTGGAAACCGCGGACCGAGCAAATGATCTTTTTCCACTTACCATGCTCTCCCCGCAGGCGTGATTTTTCTCCTGATGGTTTATTGGGCGACGTGTTTATAGCTCCCTGTGATTTATGGCTGGCAATGCTGCAGCGCGCTGGCAATACGCGTGGTTTTTATTGTGAAAACGGGCCTGCGGTGCAAATGATAATAAATTCTGCAAGAAGGGCGCTTGCAGCACCTCTCCGAGGGAACAACGGAGGTGAAGATCGAGCTGTCTCCCCTGCGACCAGTGAGACACAAAGTGTTTAATTGAAATCGTAATTTATTGCACAATAAAAACAAACTGGATATCACAAAGCCAAACACAGGCACATTAGCGGATATCCTCTCAGATGACCCAGAAACCTGCTGCACCTACGTGTCTTGTGGTAATGAGGTTATCTTTGCCACCTCCGCTCTGAGTGGAAATTGCTATTAACCCCTCTTTGTGCGGCTGCCAGACCAAGACACAGGAGAGCTCATGGGTCTGCCCATTCTCATAGGAGGTCTCTATAGTGAATACAACTGCTGGACCTAAAAGATGCTTCTGCGGTCCTAAACCAGGCTGGGCCAGGGCATTGCCCACGGTGAGCACCCGTAAATCGTTATCACGGTCCCTGGCACGGTGCTGACCTGAGCCCACCGGCGCTTCAGCAAGTCCCAGGCTCAGGGCTCTGTGTGATGCTGCTGCCTCATTTGAGGGGCTGAAGGGTTTGTTGGCATGACCTTGGACCGCCTGGTGCTGGGGGGGGGCCGGTGCCAAAGAACAACTGATTTACAAACATTAATTTTAAATAAGACAGCTGCCTGCTTCTATGTGGTTATGTGTCCCACTGGGCCTTAGCGACACTCATCCAAATGGTTCTGGGATAGGCTTGCTGCCTCTAGAGGTGTCAGATGTGAAGAAAACGGAGGAAGAAGAACTATTGAAGCTCAGCAAACATCCTGGAGAGAGCATGCTCAGGGGTGTGGAATAGCTAGAATAAAATAGACTGGACTAGAGTAGGGTAGGGTAGGGTACAGTAGAGTAGAGTAGAGTAGAGTAGAGTAGAGTAGAGTAGGGTAGAG